CCTTATAGAGAAGTCGAGGATTGATGACTGGATGATTTTCTGTCAGGATTCTTGGGGTGTTGGATGGAATGTTCTTGATATTTAGAGTGTTCAGGTAACAGGAGCAACTTCGGAGGGAGGTATCCGACTGGTGTTGAGGCACTTAGGTGGGTAAGATATACTTATGATAAGGTCGGCGGATGCACGATATTTTGCACGGTATAAATTCTTCAGCGGACGAACTTTGGAGGACGACTGGCTTCGGGATCTTTTTTTTTTTCTCTTTTTTCCCTCTTGGGGTTTTTCCCTGAGGTCAGATGATGGCTATTAACGGTCGCACGTCCAATATGTCTTCTCCATCAAAAGTTCCTGGTGACACATCCCTGACTAACTTGATCTGATTCAACAAGGAACAAACTCCGTGGGAAATAAGTTTTATGGCTTTTAGCCTAACGTTCGATTTTACTTGATTAAAGTTCCAATAAATAAAATTGAAAATAACACTTTACTGAGGGTTAGTTCGGCCCTCACATAAAAACACTCTTATTGGGTTGGTCTATTCGTTCCAAGTTAAAGCGAAAAACAGTTAATAACCCACGAATAAAACCGACATTTTTATTTTCTTAAGTGGCGTTCGAACGCATTCCGGACGGACCAGAGCCAAGAGTCGTTCCTCCGGGTGGCGGCGCAGGTGTAGTTGGCCCGGTGCCGCCGGCCCAGGCTGGGAAACTCCAGGACGGCCACCAGGGAGACGTCGGCGTCGCTCTCCATTACCCGAACGCCTGCCAGGCCCCAAACCTTTCGTTATTGGCCACTAAATTAATCCGTCGCGCCTCCGATAAAATCTCAACAAAGCGGAATCCGTCGCGAGTTTAAAAGGGGCCGGGCGAAAGTTATAATCGAAACTTGCGACAATCGGCGCGATTCCCTCCGACCGCGGGTCCGCCCGCCGTTGGTGCGGGACCCGCCGCGGAATCGACTTATTACGAGTCGATTCCGCGGCGTTACTCGGTACTTAAGACCGAAGGATCCGGAGACCCTCCCGGCACTCCATTGGCCGTCGGGAAATTGCGTATATCCTCAGCCGGAATAGGCAATTTTTAAGTACACTGGGCGAAAACTACAACAATTGTCTTTTCTCTCGACTTTTTCGTATTTAACAAAATAGTAGACTTTGGTTTTAGTCCGGGTGCGTGGCGTAAGTATAAATCCAGCTTAGAAATGCCGCAACCACGCAATAATGGCCACCGGTTTAGGAGCCATGTATTTAAAACTGTTAAATCTGCGCCATCCGACGCTTTAGTTGTACGAACGAAAACTGCGCTTACTATATTCCATTTATCCAATAGGGTAATTACGCCAAGGCCGATAAGGTGGTATTTTTTAAAGGAAAACCTTTGGCCCAATACATTTTCTACCATTTTACCAGACGTAGAACGATGTTCGTCGGCCTCTTTATTTTTACGTATTGGCAGCTTCAATTACCGTTTCCGTAGACCGTTTCGCCAATCTCCATACCGGGATTTTAGGCTACATCCAAAACACCCTCTAACAGAGACGCATCCTCAGCCCTCCTACATCCAAATTATAGCCACATCATTTATTTTTAAATTTAACGTTGTACAGGTAACCCCTGTATAACACGGCACTTCTATAGCACGGATTCACTCTAACACGGTTCGAGAATTGGTACCATCCCCCGTATAACACGGCACTTCTATAGCACGGATTCACTCTAACACGGTTCGAGAATTGGTACCATCCCCGTATAACACGGTACTGTTATAGAACAGATTTACTCTGACACGGTTCGAGAATTGGGTAAAACCCTCGTACAACATAAAATGTAATAAATTTTTACATACTTAAGTAATAATAGTTCACGAAAATTATTATTTTCGTAAACTATTAGTACTTAAGTATGTAAATTTGTTCTCGCCTTCTGTCGATACACGTGGTCTTTCTCGAAACTCGTTTCAATGTTGCCAGTCGCGACGCTTCTGCTCCTGATGTTGCCGAATGTTTTTCCCTTATTCCATACTTGCTTTATTCCTCATAAGTGCTTAGCACCATATAAGGAAATTTATAAAGACCTTTTAACTAGAAGCGAGCAATCTAAAATTACATACTTTTTTTCAAAGGTAAAGCATGGATCTGAAGATAATGCAGAAAAATGCTCAGAGGATAATGATAACTTGCCAAAAAGAAAACGCTCTCGGCTAATTAATAGTGTTTTTAGTGATGATGAAGAAAACATTGTTTAATTTATATCAATACGTATCACTTAAAAAAATTTTAATGAAGATATTTATCTTAATTATGAAAATATACTAGCATGTTTTTTAATTTTTGGAACCTAACCCTCCTTTTCGTATTAGTTCTTTGTTTCGTATAACACGGAAATTTTTTGGAACGTAACTACCGTGTTATACGGGGGTTACCTGTATTTTATCATAACTGAGGAAGATGGGTAAATCAATCGAAAACGTTTTTATTTAGTAAATTTTCTTTGCTGGAATTTTAAAAATATTATTTTTTTTATGTAAAAGATAAATCAAAGTTTTTTTAAGTATTCGTAACACATTTTTGTACAATACAGAAATTAGTTTGCAACCTCCCAAGAAATACACACTATCAACCATGTCTTGATATCAGAGATGGAAAGCTTTGCTGTGCTTCATTTGGTTAGGGCTTTCCAGGTGTTTTGTCCTTGAGACCTTTCTTCCTTCTAAGCATCACATGCATCACTGGAATTCCAGTCTTTTTGATGACCTTGATTTCTTACTAATGCAGCACAATACTTCCCATGCTTTTGGCAACATCTTCATTGATTATTTGTTAGTGAGGGCATTTTCCAAAGTACTTTAGTAGTTATTTGGATGTTACGATGCCGCTCGGTGTCACAGGAAAAGATGTGATCATTCCAGAATTTGAATGATTTGATGTCGAGCCCATCTTCATTATATGAAAACAAGGTGAAGCAGTAAAAATGTCTAAGTAATTTGTGTACATCATTTCCACATGATGGCAACATTTGTTATCAAACACTACTATTATAACTTGCACCACATACTGAAATTCTTTGAACGTGTTATCATTCCAATTATTCTCCACCGACACTCTCTGCAAAGCCAAGTGGATAAAACCACTGAACACTAGTAGTAGTTGTGGGTTCATGCCTAGCTATGTGCATTTATCTGGGCCATAAATAAAAACATCTAAAAAGGTTTAGTTTCCCATAAAAAGACTTTCTGGGAGGAATTCCCCTTTCAGCAGATTGCTCATGTGTAGCTTTGCCATATACAAATAATCCAAACCATACTGTAGACCAACCAACTTGTGTCAACTGGAAAACCATCAATTACAGTTGACCCCCAACAGGCAAGAACTTCACCTGCATGTTTAAAGTACTTCAGTTTCAGGATTGCCTGTACTATCTTATCTTTGTCGTATACGAATCATAAGATATGACGATTCGTGTGAGACCTCGTCTAAGAGGGCCATTCTTCTTCCTACTCCATTAAAAGAACTTCTTCCAGATGCATTTGAGGATCCGAATCCTGACTTTCCGTATGTTTACCTCATTAATTCGTAACGTCACATTGTAACTATAACCTCGATACATAACTGTCAACTTTCACACCTGGGAGCAAAACATCTGTTAAGTTCTCAGGCCTGACAATGATGCTTTCTCATCACTTCTCGACCTAATATCTCGATTTCATCGGTTCAACAACAAAAAATCAAGAAACGAACAGTCGTCGCCCGTCCTTCGAAAGGGTCAATTGTCACCCGTACCTTATCCTAAGTGCCTCAATATTCAGATATCTGTGAATATATCATTTTATTTTACGTTCCTATATCCTTCTAATATATCAGAACCCATCATCTAACATCTTTGCATATATGTTCCATCAGGCTTAGGATATTTCATTTACAGGATACCCGAACTGACATCCCGAACTTCCTCTCTTTCAACCAAACATTCCAGATCCTCAATATGGTATTTATCGTCACGCGTTTTTGCTGTAAACTCTCTCTCTCTCTCGAGAAACACAGTTCTTGAATTACCTGTCTAATATCTACATAATATCTATCATTACCAATATATCTAAATCTATCATATTCCACTCAGTCTACGATATGTCCTGTATTATCTATTGTTACCAATGAAACGGTTGTTACGTTGACTCATCTCTGGGTAAGTCACTTCCGATGCATTGCCTCTCCCTCCATCCCAAACCCAACCGCTTGATTGACCTAGTTAGCTCGGCTTCCATGTCAACCGAGATGCGGTGGTGTCAATCCTGACGAGGCATTGAGAGGTGCCGACCCTTCGGTCACACATTTGTTGCAATGAAAATTCCATCCAAGTTGTACAGCACAAACTAGTGGACTGCAGCAGACATAACTATTGTGCCACAAACTTTTATCCAGTCACCATCAATGGTAATAATCACTAAGACTATTTAGCAGATGTGAGGAGAGAAAAACATGCAAAACTGAACTTTTGGAACCAAAACTCACACTCGCAATTCAGTTTATGCAGAACAGAGAAATGGAGTTCGCAAAAAATTTAAACTTTCATATTTTTCTCTCATCCCTAGTTGGAGAATGGTGCATTTCTGACCAGGATATCTAGCTGGTCCCTGGCACGAAATGCATAATTGTAAGAGAAATAAATAAAAATGAGGTTGTCTTCTGAGTAAAACAAGCTAGTAAAATCATTATACACGTCTGATTAAAAAATACCTTAAAAAGAAATTGTTCTGGACTTCGAACTCACATTTCAGTTATAAATAAACACTTGGCTTTATTTCTATCATTTTTAGTTGAACCAATTAGATAGAACATAGAAATTGTTCTATCTAATGGTTACTGAAATATTTTAGTTTTTCTGTCAAGCAGAATGGATGGTGAGTAGTGCCATCAGTTCCAAAAGAAATGGGTCAAATGTTCCATTCTCATGAAAGTTCAAATAAAAGGTAGAGAGAGAGACTGTCAACGAAAAGGACAGAACATAAATACTCAAATTTTAATTGAGATCGATAGTTACAAATGTTTGTCATACAACTATTAACAAAAAATTTTAACACCATGTCTTCCGTATTACATACAAAAGTGGGTGACCAGAAAATAGCTACTATTTTCTTAACAGAACATATAAATGCTGGACTTTCATTACTTGGCAGGAAATAGTTGACTGCTCTGATTTTCATTCCTTTTTTAAGTCTATAGATGGAGAGGACAGTTGCCCCTCCGAATTTTTCCAGTTCTTGCAGATCAACAAAATTTTCCTCTGTCCAATACAGCAGTGCGAGTGTCAAAATTTCTGTAAAACAAAACCAGGGTATTTTAGCCTCTTATCTGCTCAATGATACTAGATGCAGACAATGACCAAATTCGTATCCATAACAAAAAAATAGCAGAAATAATTAAACGGAAGGTGGCCTAAAATGTCTCCCAAGTAAATAATTCTACATAAAGACTATTAAATATTTTGTTCGAAATGGTACGACCAAGTAAATTGCTGCAGAAACTACCACAGCCTTGTCGTATGTACAGCAATAATATACACGGCAGTCTATGTACAGGTGTTTGGTCGCCATCAGAGGATCTACGTTCTTACACTCGATTGTTCACTATTCTGACTTCCTAGTTTTCCCAAACACTTGTGTTCATAGTTGACCAGTCTTCTTCCAACTAAATATCTGAATAAAATAATGAAAAATATTAGATTAAGTAGTTTATATAACGAACGAACTGGATAAACATAGCATAGAATAAAAATAAAATCGCATAGAATAATAAAATCGCACACAAAAAACTTTTTGTGTTCGATTTTATTCTATGCTCTGGTAACTGAGGAAGATCGTTAAGAAACGATCGAAAACGTTATTATATTATTAATTTTTATTAGCTGGATTATTAAAGGTGTGTTTTATTAGTAAGATTAAGTAGTGTTTTTAAATAGCATAAGAAGGTAAATCACAATAAAATACTATAACAACCTCCATTTTCTACATCTTCACTTTTCCATATTTTTTCTTTTGAAATTTAGTTTGTGGAATAAATACTCAAATTGTAGTAATGATAGAATTATGGAAATGTGCAGCATAGACTCTAATGCCACTTCGTTCATTTGTCCTCTGAACTGATGTGTAAACTTGCAATTCAAATTCAGTGGCATAGCATGGGTGTCAGCCACCCAGGGCAGAGGAAAATTTCGCCGCCCCCTTATTTAGTTATCTCAATTTAAAAGACTAAAATTCCATTTTGTCACAGAATAAGTAATGAAAAATTCCATGCTCATTTCAATCGGTCTGAATTGTAGGTGCAACAAAAATATGAAATTAAATGGTTCAAATTTTTACAAGATATTATTATTATTTATTGTGAAATTTTTCCGCCCCCTAAAAGTTCTGCCCCGGGTGGGTCACCCCTGCCGCCCCCACTATGCTACACCACTGTTCGAATTAAGTCCTAATATAACAGATGCATTTTGAGTTTAGATGTCATGAGAATCTGATGAAAAGTTCTCCATGACAATTAGTGTTGCCCAAGGTAATGTGACCCAGTGAATAGCAAACTAGCATAAAACTTATTTGTCTGCCCTTCTTGTAAGTTGTAACGGAAAACTTTAAATTCATAGTAAAGCTATACATACATTTGTACCAAAAGTCATGCTAAACATGCTTCCCATTTCTTCAGACAGTGTTAATTATAAAATTCTTTTACCCATATTAATGTAAAGACTTACTCTACTTGCAAGTTTTCAGTAAAGGCAGCAAGTAGCAATAGCAGTTCCTATACAAACAAGCCATTTCTCTAGAGAATTACCCTGCTATTAATGGAAATTCTGAAACCCACAGATATGAAAGCAGTAGTGGCATATATCTGCCGCTACTGCTAGAACTTACTGCTTTAGATAACATCTTGTGTTCCCTCCTAAGGCTATATAGGTCAGTCAGGCTATATAATGTTCCTTACATTTTATTTTATATGCGAGACATGCTTTTGAAGTAAGTACCGTTTTGAAATATAAAAAAACAAGCAAATATTTTTAACAAAACTTTTATTTATGTGAAAGCCCATATTTTACACTACTTTTCTACATAATTCCCATTAATATTAATATTCCCATAAATATTAATATTGTTTAGCTTTTGTATTCCATCCTCAAAGAATGTTGCCGCCTGATGAGACAACCACTGTAGAACAGTTGTTTTGACTTCGTCGTGATTGTTATGGCGCTGCCCTGCCAGATGCTTCTTCAAATGCAGAAACAAATGATAGTCACTCGGCGCTAGGTCAGGACTGTATGGAGGGTGGTCTAATTGTTCCCAGCCAAATGATGTGATTAGGTCTTGAGTTTGATTTGCCGTATGTGGACGAGCATTATCGTGGAGCAAAACGACACCCTTGCTCAGTAAGCCCCGCCTTTTGTTTTGTACTGCACGGCGCAGTTTTTTTAAAGTCTCACAGTATGCAGCTGAATTGATCGTTTCACCATGAGGCAAAAAATCAACAAGCAACACTCCGTATCTGTCCCAAAACACCGTGCACATGATTTTCTGAGCAGAAATTGTTTGCTTGAACTTGACTTTCCTTGGAGATGATGAATGTCGCCATTCCATGGATTGTTGCTTCGATTCCGGTGTAACGTAGGCTACCCACGTTTCATCGCCTGTAACAATAAGGCTTAAAAAATCATCTCCCTCGTCACTGTAGTGTTCAAGAAAAGTCAATGCACTGGCAAAACGTTTGGTTTTGTGCTCCTCTGTCAACATTTTCGGCACCCAACGGGAACACAACTTCCAATAATTTAATCGTCCGGTCACGATTTCATAGAGAACACTTCTTGAAACAGCAGGAAACTCTTTAGATAAAGATGAAATAGTGAATCGTTGTTCTCTTTCACTCTACAGTCCACTTTTTCAATCAAATCATCGCTAATGACTGAAGGTCGCCCATTTCGTTCCTCATTGTGAATGTTTGTGTGGCCATTACTAAAGGCCTTAACCTATTTTCGTACCATTCCATCACTCATAACGCTTTCACCATAAACTTCACTGATTTGGCGATGAATTTCAGCCGCTTTCGAGCCTTTAGCACTGAGAAAATGAATAACGGCATGCACTTCGCAGTCGGCGGGACTCTCAATGAGCGGCGGCATTTCAATAACACACAAACAACAGTAAACACAGTCGACTGGCTCCGTAATGGCATTTGTGGCTTCCCAACTGATGTAGGTACACAGCACGCATGCGCTAAGTGCCGACTGCAGCGCTCCAGCAGCATTATATTAAAACGGTACTTACTTTAAAAACACGCCCTGTATGTCATTTCGTAACTATTAATTTTTATAGTTTTTATTTATTTGACAATTCTCTTTTTCTGTATGATTGTATAACAATATGTTTGGTATAACTGAAAGCCTAGGAGTCTTGTAAAACAATTTAAGTTGCAAAATCAGTTCATTGAATTATGTTGATGCAAACACTTAAATAGTAAAATATTGTTTACCAGTGTTTCTTAAATTTTACAATGCCAAGTAAAATTAGCACTTTCAATTCATGGATAACGGATTTTTTAATCAGTGTATAAAATAGGTAAATTTAATTTCTCTAAGTCATGATAGTAAAAAAACTAGAAAAATGGAAATTGTATTTTTATCTGCACAAATGAAAAAACATTATATACAAACACTTACTTGTCATTTTTAATATGTTCATATAATCTGAAGAACTGTCGTACTTGGAATATCAAGATTCCTACTATGACATATACAGCCAAAACTGCCGGATATATTCTCCTCAAAATAAGATTCTGCATTTCGAAAGCTGCACCTAAAATGCAAATATTTATTTTAGATTTAATATATAATCTAAAGGATGGTATTCTCCCAACTTCTAACTCAAATACTTCATAATTTAAATCCATTTCAAAATCATGAAAGTATTCAAGTCACAGTCATTTTTTGTGGTACAAAATTTACTTTTAATGTTGTAAATGAATGAAAAGTGATTATACATTTTTAACATATTATTATTAAGTTGGGTTTAGAGGTTACACTCAGTTGACACCAGTTGCTATGTACTATGATAGACCAGGTCAAAGCATAACAACCAAAACAAAACAAAAATTAAATAAGTGTGTCAGTGTGTATGTCTATATATATATAAACATCAACTCACAGCCCGAGTAGATAATAACAACACCAAACGATCGCCTAATTTATCGGGCTATACTATGGCTATTTTAAATGATTGGAACTAAGTAATTTGACATTAGAGGTAGGCGTTAGGCGCCTAACGCCTACCTCTAATGTCAAATTACTTAGTTCCAATCATTTAAAATAGCCATAGTATAGCCCGATAAATTAGGCGATCGTTTGGTGTTGTTGTATGTCTATATTCAGGAATTTCCTAACAATATGACATGTATTCAATATAGTGGCCTTCTGTAGTGTGATGTATGTATTTCTATTGTAATAATCCCAGGCTTTTGTGTAGCGTGTGTGGTATGATACCTATAGAGGAGAGAACAACAGGTACAATAAGCACCCTATCCATCCTCCACAGATGCCTTATTTCCTACATGAGATCTGTGTACTTGCTGATTTTTTCAATGCATGTGTTTTGTATATTGTGTGTGTTTGGAACAGCTATGTCTATAATGTATGTGATTTTATTGTGTTTGTCAATGAATGTGATGTCTGATTTGTTGTAGTAAATTGTTTTATTTGTGATTATGGCTCTGTCGTAGTACATTTTGTGTGTGTTGTTTTCCAATACTGTTCGTGGAATGTATTTGTAGTATGGTTTGTAAATGTCTAATAATTTGTTTCTTTGTAAGCTCTTGATGTACTATATTTGCTACATTATGTCTATGTAAATAATCTGTCTGTACCAAGAAATTATTATTATTTCAATAAAATATTAACGAAGTACATCGGAATAAAGAATACCTTGTCCCGTAACTCACAGAAAAGAAGGTACCTTTTTCCCCCTTTACTGTAATAGTTGCACTTTACATGCAAATAGTTCCTCTTCTCAACAAGTTTCCAGGTGAGCTAGTACTAGTCTCAAAAGTTGTATCAGTCATGGATTTTGAAAATCTGTATCCATCAATAAAATTGGATTTATGTTATCACGCCTTAATTGACACCTTGCGCAGTTTAAACCAGATGTGTTCTTTCCTAAAGACAAGGAGCTATTTGCAAACCTGATATGTTTTCAATCATTCTTCAGCTTTGAAGGCAGAATCTATAAACAAATGAAAGCAGTTCTGAAACGATGGACAGTCCGATGTCCAGCTTACTCTGCAAGTTAGTGTTACACAGATTAGAACAGATCACTATTATGAATTTTAGGGAGGACATCATCTGCATATCTTTTGTACAAGATTATGTGTTCATTTTATGGAGGAATAATACAAGAATACAGCATTTATGGAATGAAATAAATTTAAACAAAGATGGTTTAAAACTTAAATTGGAGCAAATTAGTACTACAAAAGTGCATTTTTTAGACATTGGCATTTCATTCAAGAATGGTTCCTTAAACACGAAGGTATACATCAAGCCCACTCACAACCAGTTATACATCTCTTTGACATCCAATGATCCACATATCTATAAGCTTTCAACGTTTAGAGCTCTAGTTAGAAGAGCATTCCATTATTGCTGCAACGTATACGACAGACTGCAAGCATTAAATAGAATTATAGCTGTGGCAATGTTGGGATTTGGAGCAAAAGTCATTGAAGGATTAATAAGTTCTTATACTGATCCTAGCAGAAAGAAAAAGAAGAAAGATATGAACAAGATGACTAAGTTCACATATAACAGAAACATGTCAAATATTATGAAAGAAATTGCAGATTACAAGAACACAAGATTACTATACAAAAAGACTCCCACAGTTTATAACTTGCTTAGGAATTACAATGATATGATCAAGAAGAAACAACAATCTGGAGTATACAAGATACCATATAAAAATGATCAATTAGATTTGAACAAAGAGCATGTGGGTGTCACCACCAGAAACCTCAATGAAAAGCTTAAGGAGCACATGTACGCAAGGAACACTATTCTACAGCACTATCCAGAATGGCACAAACAGGTGGTTTGGTAGTCAAACGGACTGAGACCAGAGTTGTTACACTGGCATGTTCACCGACTCTGGCATTACATTTGGAAAAGTTTGAAACTTATAAATCCAGCCTGACTGGCAAATGTTTAAACTACAAGGATGCAACAGGCTTACCATTGGCATGGAAATATATGATCGATTATTGCTAGTAAAATCCGATGCATGGTGTGTGGTCAATGTAATTTTATATATTATATTACAGTAGAGCATCGATTATCCGACCCCCGATTAACCGTCACATCGGTTAACCGACCGTTCTAGTCAGAAAATTTCAAATGTCCACTAGTGAGGTGCACTACAATATTTGGCTATGTCTTGGCTACTTTAATATTATTTTTGTTAAATTTTGCATGTTTTAGTTGGCAACATGGCTTGACCATTGAAGGGAGGCCAGTATTTAAACGAGACTTAATTTTCTAATTATGAGTGGTTGTTTNGGGTAAATCAATCGAAAACGTTTTTATTTAGTAAATTTTCTTTGCTGGAATTTTAAAAATATTATTTTTTTTATGTAAAAGATAAATCAAAGTTTTTTTAAGTATTCGTAACACATTTTTGTACAATACAGAAATTAGTTTGCAACCTCCCAAGAAATACACACTATCAACCATGTCTTGATATCAGAGATGGAAAGCTTTGCTGTGCTTCATTTGGTTAGGGCTTTCCAGGTGTTTTGTCCTTGAGACCTTTCTTCCTTCTAAGCATCACATGCATCACTGGAATTCCAGTCTTTTTGATGACCTTGATTTCTTACTAATGCAGCACAATACTTCCCATGCTTTTGGCAACATCTTCATTGATTATTTGTTAGTGAGGGCATTTTCCAAAGTACTTTAGTAGTTATTTGGATGTTACGATGCCGCTCGGTGTCACAGGAAAAGATGTGATCATTCCAGAATTTGAATGATTTGATGTCGAGCCCATCTTCATTATATGAAAACAAGGTGAAGCAGTAAAAATGTCTAAGTAATTTGTGTACATCATTTCCACATGATGGCAACATTTGTTATCAAACACTACTATTATAACTTGCACCACATACTGAAATTCTTTGAACGTGTTATCATTCCAATTATTCTCCACCGACACTCTCTGCAAAGCCAAGTGGATAAAACCACTGAACACTAGTAGTAGTTGTGGGTTCATGCCTAGCTATGTGCATTTATCTGGGCCATAAATAAAAACATCTAAAAAGGTTTAGTTTCCCATAAAAAGACTTTCTGGGAGGAATTCCCCTTTCAGCAGATTGCTCATGTGTAGCTTTGCCATATACAAATAATCCAAACCATACTGTAGACCAACCAACTTGTGTCAACTGGAAAACCATCAATTACAGTTGACCCCCAACAGGCAAGAACTTCACCTGCATGTTTAAAGTACTTCAGTTTCAGGATTGCCTGTACTATCTTATCTTTGTCGTATACGAATCATAAGATATGACGATTCGTGTGAGACCTCGTCTAAGAGGGCCATTCTTCTTCCTACTCCATTAAAAGAACTTCTTCCAGATGCATTTGAGGATCCGAATCCTGACTTTCCGTATGTTTACCTCATTAATTCGTAACGTCACATTGTAACTATAACCTCGATACATAACTGTCAACTTTCACACCTGGGAGCAAAACATCTGTTAAGTTCTCAGGCCTGACAATGATGCTTTCTCATCACTTCTCGACCTAATATCTCGATTTCATCGGTTCAACAACAAAAAATCAAGAAACGAACAGTCGTCGCCCGTCCTTCGAAAGGGTCAATTGTCACCCGTACCTTATCCTAAGTGCCTCAATATTCAGATATCTGTGAATATATCATTTTATTTTACGTTCCTATATCCTTCTAATATATCAGAACCCATCATCTAACATCTTTGCATATATGTTCCATCAGGCTTAGGATATTTCATTTACAGGATACCCGAACTGACATCCCGAACTTCCTCTCTTTCAACCAAACATTCCAGATCCTCAATATGGTATTTATCGTCACGCGTTTTTGCTGTAAACTCTCTCTCTCTCTCGAGAAACACAGTTCTTGAATTACCTGTCTAATATCTACATAATATCTATCATTACCAATATATCTAAATCTATCATATTCCACTCAGTCTACGATATGTCCTGTATTATCTATTGTTACCAATGAAACGGTTGTTACGTTGACTCATCTCTGGGTAAGTCACTTCCGATGCATTGCCTCTCCCTCCATCCCAAACCCAACCGCTTGATTGACCTAGTTAGCTCGGCTTCCATGTCAACCGAGATGCGGTGGTGTCAATCCTGACGAGGCATTGAGAGGTGCCGACCCTTCGGTCACACATTTGTTGCAATGAAAATTCCATCCAAGTTGTACAGCACAAACTAGTGGACTGCAGCAGACATAACTATTGTGCCACAAACTTTTATCCAGTCACCATCAATGGTAATAATCACTAAGACTATTTAGCAGATGTGAGGAGAGAAAAACATGCAAAACTGAACTTTTGGAACCAAAACTCACACTCGCAATTCAGTTTATGCAGAACAGAGAAATGGAGTTCGCAAAAAATTTAAACTTTCATATTTTTCTCTCATCCCTAGTTGGAGAATGGTGCATTTCTGACCAGGATATCTAGCTGGTCCCTGGCACGAAATGCATAATTGTAAGAGAAATAAATAAAAATGAGGTTGTCTTCTGAGTAAAACAAGCTAGTA